CTGGAATGTGCACATGGAGCAAAGGACATACTTTTTTGCCTTCGGGAAGTAGCCAAAGGATTCTGTAAGATTGTAGGTCTGAAAATCCTTTTTCAMATCCTTGTGAAAGAGGAGAGGGTAGACATTGCCAGAAACCAATGGAAGTGGTATTTTCCCTAAGGGAAAGGGGATGGGAGCAATTGTGTGGAATGGTGAGAATGAGACAGGTGAGCAGATGGACAAGGATGAGKGATGTGGGAAGGAGGGTGAATGAAGCTTATGTGGTACCATCCATGCAAAAGAACCACTGAGAGGGACTGCTGCCTATAATTTGCCAAAATGTGCAGAAATTTTCAATCACTGGATTTTTGTACAGCCAGCCAAAAGCTGTGTTATTTGTGCCAAAGTTKTTCCCTGCTCTGGTTAACAGGAAGTTAACAGCTTCCAACTTCTGCCAGGATCTKAAGTGGTTTAAGACCTGCCTGATGTGGAGGTTTTCAGCAGAAATACCAATACCCGTGTGAATGGGAATTCCTGGCTGAAGGCAACAGAAAAACAGCACAGGAAGGGTTAAAGGAGTGGCAGGAGTTAATTGCTGCAGAACCACCCCATGTGTTCCATGCAAATAGGTAACCAGGGGACAAAACCCAAACCTGAGCCTTGAGATAAGGTGACAAGATGATGACCCACGCTGTAGAGAGTGTGAAATGGCCAGATAAGGGTAACAAAAGGCTCRGTTTTGCCTGAAACTCTTAAAGGGTGAGACACAAGATCATCATATCCACTGCTGAAGGGTATAAAAGATGCAATCAAAAATAAAGGAGAGCCCATCCCAGAGATGCAGTGGAGTGGTGGTAGTGGTGGTTTTACCCCATGTGCTTTTTGCTGCACACAGCTGATCCTGACCTGATCGATGCAATCAGTCCTGTGCATGTGAGTATGTTGMTGGGAGAGTGGGAGTGGGTAGGACCAACTCACTGGACTCTTCTTCATAAAAAAAAAAATCACTTTCTCTACCTCTAAGGTCTTGCAATGAGTTTTGTTCTGCTAATTTCCATAGTAATGAGACTARGTGTTCTAATTCCGCTAATAATTCAAGTAGGAGGTGATATATTTCCATAGGATGGCCTTTTATATAAACCCCAGTTGCCTTAAAAAATACCCAGATAATTAGATTGCAAAATTTCTATGTTAAAGATTCCTACTCAAGTGAGGCACTCTGGTGTGAATGGAAGTTTTCTGTTTAATCTTCACATTGTCCTCTTGTAGAAAAGCTGTTGCCATCCAAATGTTTGTCATTTTCTAAATGCTCAGCAGGAGAGATGCATTGAACACTGCCAATTATAGGTGACACTACTGCACTGAAGCACATAAAGTGCCACCAAAAAAGCACCATAAAGAAAATCAGGCCACCCGAGTTAYCTCTCAAGCAGGCTTTCTGCATGAGAGGTTGTATGCTGACCTGGATATTGCAGCTGTAAATGAAGGCAGCTCTCTGCTCCCACAAAAGTCAGAAAAACTTATTCTCTGACCACATCCAGGTGCTTTTCCTCCCTTCCTATCTGCCTCTGTTTCTGATTATCCTGGGCTCTGCAAAGCAGCCACTGGTACCCGGTGAGGGCTCAGAGACAATTCTGCTGTCAGTGCAAGGGGTTGGCTGTTGCTCTTTCTCATGGAATTGTGGGRAGAAAAACAATTAAATGCTTGTGAAGCATTCCAGGGTGATAGTGATGAAGCTGTCCAGGAGAATAATATTCTTAAAATCCATGAGGATAGAGAAGTGACACTGAGCAAACAGAGAGCTGAATGAATGCTGTTGGTTTAAGCATTCCTTCAGTGGTTGAGGAGGACACRGGAGAGTCCTGTGAGGAGCAGTAATGCCATGGCATTGAATAAAATAAACTTTATGCCATTAAGAAGTTTTATAAATTGAAGATATCCAGCCATACAATTGTGTGTTTGTTWSTTGCAGCYCAGCTCTGCTGTTTTCCTCATCCCTTCACAGCCATCCTGTTTGAAGGRSTGGGWTGTGCAGGTGAGTTTSTGGYTCCTTGTGCCTTCCTGCTGCTCTGMTCCTGATCTGATGCTGTGGATKCTGCCTGCCAGACACTGAACAYTGCTGCAGGCARACTYTTGRAGAAGAAAAGCTTACCAGTCCTTGAACAGTAAGTGAGAACATCTGGGGATAATATTTTTTGTTACTTCTTAGAAGTTTAGTTTAGAGCCAGAAATGCATTGTCTTTTTCCCTCTTACAACACTTGGCAGGGGTTAGTTTGAGTTCCTTAAATGCTTACAATAGTGTCCTTAATCTAGAGTTCATGAAAAGATTTGGAGATCAGTCAATGATTTTTAACATGGCAGCTTTAAGTCTGATTGAAAATATGAGGGTAGTCAGTTCCTTATTCTTCTTGCTCCCTCAAACCTGGAGATATTTCCCTGCTGCCAAAGGCTGGATCTGTTCTCCAACAATAAAAAGCAGATGATTTTCCTTCTTAAAATACCCAAAGGGGATTGCTAACACAGATCCTCTTCRCTGTGCACCCATCCTAATGTGCACAGCCAAATCCCATCCCTTCTAGCAGCAAGGAAAGGCAAATCCCTGGCATTGAAGGCACCCAGATTAACCCACTGCAGGATTAGGATGCTTGAGCTGTTGTTAGAAGATTAGTATATTTGGTTGTCAACACTTGCTGAACTTGGCCTGAAAATGGTTTCCAATGAGGTCACTGACTCTTGGGTGCCAGTTTGCCCAACACACTGGGAAAGCCTGGAGTTAAAGCAAGTGGCTACAAAGATTAAACCTGAGTCCTGAGTGTGCAGAATAGCTTTAGGATTTAAACCCATCATCACTGCTGATGGGGACAAAAGGTTCTGGCAGAGTGATCTGAATTGCTGAGCTCCTGCCTTGCTGGGGAGGTGTTCCTGGGGCTTTGCTTTCTGGAGTTTCCTGCAGCTGGCAGTGTGTGCCATTWGGTGGGTGAGCTGCCCACACATGAACTTGTCTCAGTTCCTGCACAGTGCAAAATGAGTTTATTTTGAGGACAGGGCCTCCACAGGGGCACCTCTAGGTAGAAAGCAATTGGCTTCTACTTTCTGTTCTGGGACTCAAACTGTCTGTGCCAATAACATTTTATTTCAGCTACTAGCAGGAGGATTCATGTTGTGGGATTTTTTTTAAAATATAGGATCTTCCTCTTGTCAGCAAGACATTAATGCCAGCACGAAGTCTGCTCGTGCTAGCTGATCACCTTGTAAATGCTTACATGGCTTTCCAGAGCATGGGAAGTGGGACATGAAAGGAGTGACAGCAGAGCTGTGGTCCCAGTGCAACCAGTGCTGCTCTGGTGTGTGAGTTGGTGTCACTGATGCTGCTGGAGCACATTGTGGTGCTACATGGAGAGGGATGGGCACGGTAGAGCTCTCCTTCCTGAAACACAGCTTTTGTCCTATTAATTTTCTTCCTCTGTTTAAACAAACGAGGGCTGTGAARAGTCTAAATATAGACCCTTTAAAGATTTTTGGTAATACAGGAGAAGAATGTATTTTCCTCTGTTTATCACTGAGAAGCTGCCATGATGGTAAAATAATTGCTAGTTGGAAATTTTTTCTCTATCATGAACCAGTTGAATACAAACTTACAATTGATGCAAAGCAACTTGTCTTGAAAAGTACTGACCACTGTCTGTGCCATGGAATTGGTTCCAGTGATTTTATTCAGCAGCATATCTGGGTTTCAAGACACATCCTTTTGTGAACACAGATTGTGCCATGCTTCTCTTTGTTCATACAAACATTAGCAGCTATTTCTTGTCTGAAATCAATATAATTGCATTTTCCACTCCTCTGACAATATAATTTTATTTTCTCATCAGGCCAGAAAAGATATTCAACTAAACCCATCTCAAAGAATAAGCCTGAAAGTTCTTTCAGAGAAGATACACTATAGAAAGKTAGGGCCTTCCCATAAAAGCTTCCTTTGAGTTTGATTCTGGTATCTTAAGGCTTCAGGTGTCCTGAGCATTCCCACTTTTGGGAATTTTGTGCAGCCTACTGAAGCAAGAGCTGTTCAATTTTAATAACTTTATAAGCACTAAGTACATTKCTCTGTGCTTTACAAATGTACTTGAGGGGATTTTGGTAGAGCTGCATGATAGAATAATTTTGAATATTTTATCCAAGGCTTGTGTTGTGATTTCTTCTGAAATTGGCCTGTATTCAGTGAAGAATTTCAGGCCCCCATTTGTTGGATGAAAATGTAATGTCTGACATCAYGCTGAGGTCATTTGGGCTATCTGATGAGCAAAAACACACACATGCATATACACACTAGATATSTCTGAGAGGGCCATAAACAAGATATAGTCCAGCACAGAAAAAGGTGCATTGTAGATTTTAATCTCCTAGGAACAGAGGCCATGCAGTGTCTGAAATGGCTCTGCTTGTATTTCAGCCCATGCTTGCTGCAACAAGTGCTGGAGGGCAGTTTCTAGGACATGGGTCCCTGTGCACACATCTGGGGGATTCACAAGGTGAAAAAAGGAGRTAAAAATGCCAATGCCATCATGCTGTGAGCTCAGATCTTTGTCTTACTCAAGGAATACGCACAAGCAGCTCAGGCAGCTCTTGTTTTTGATCCATGTGTGAAGCACAACATGTTAGCTAATGAGAAATAACCATACTTAAACCACTGCTTTCCACATCAGAATACCTCGGAAGGGTGGACCTCAGGATGCCTTCAAAGGGTGGCCCTCACACCTACACTGATGGATAGACAACAGCAGTGCTGGCTGGATGCCCTCCACTTCCCACGGCTGGCAAATCTGAATTCCTATAGGCTTTCCACCCCTATCTCAATGGCCAAGGAATCTCCAGCTGGGTTGAGTCCCAGTCCCATGATGTTGTTCCCAATGAGGATGGGTGCTAGTTAATTCATTGCTTTTATRTTTGACATGGGGCAGTTCCCAGCCAGACTGTCTGCTTGGTAAGCATTGTGGCARCACAAGGTAAATTACATTTGGATGCTGAAGAATGTTTTTAAATTTGCTATAAAATTGAAATGTGAGAGGAAAGGAGCAGAAGTATAAAATGGAAGCAGTGGATGTGGTGAGGCTGTGGTTCTGTAGCAGACAGAGATGCAGGCAGAGACTGATCAGCTTGCATGKCTTGCACTGCTTCTGTGGGATGGGCTTGCACTGCGGGGCAGGAGCCTTTTCTATATCAAAACCCAAAAATTTACTYGTGAACCAATCTCATTCTGGGGCTATGGGAAGGCCTGTAGCTGCTCACAGGATCCAGGCTATGGATCTATGTTGTTAATGGTTAGACTGGATCTTAGASATCTTTTTCAACATAAACTTTTCTGTGTATTACATCTGTGTGTTCATCCCTGGAAGTGTTAAATCCCAGGCTGGATGGGGCTTTGAGTAACATGGTCTAGTGGAAGGTGTCCCTGCCCACAGCAAGGGGGTTGTTGGGGACAGATGATCTTTCAGCTCCCTTCCTACTCAAACCATTTTTTATCTCCATCTTCCCCAAACCCCAAATCCACGCTGTTTCTCCAGCACCCTCTGCCAGCATTTCCCACTCAGGAGTGCTAAGATTTAGAGATGCAATATTTTTCACTAAGTGCTCAGTTTCTCTCCTCCTGGCAGRGATGGGGAAGGACAAAGCAGGCAAGAGCCCAGAGCATGCACTCATTAGCTTCTGTCTGCCAACAAGTTGGGAGCATGCAATGTTATACGAAATGTCTGGCTGTTATAAAAGGCTTTGGTTAAGTAATCACATTTCTCTTGCATAAGTGCTTGTTTTTGGGAGGCTGTAGCCAATTGGAGGCTGCAGCAGCACACAGACAGAAAGCATGTGTAACTGCTGCAATTTTTTATTTTTCTTTTAATATTAAGTGATTATTAATCTGCTGAGAGCTGTATGAAATCTCTTCAAGGTTAGGCGGCGGAGGCTCCCCAGCGCTGCTTGTAGCTGAACCACAAGCTTGCCAAAAAGCTTGTAAGGATCCCTGTGAGTAATATTTCTTATTCTTCTAATGGGTGTTTATTACTGGAGACTGCAGGCAGGAAATATTGCAGACATTTATTGCAAGCAATAAGTTACAGGGAGGCAGGAGGTGAGAGGCAGTAGTGAAACTATTGACCTGTTTAATAAGGCTTTCCTCCTAGACTTCCCGTGAGCAAACTTGGGTTTCTCTGAAGCTGTACAATCAAGGCTCTCCCCAATATGCTAATGAAAAAGAAATGTAATGCTGAAGTCAACTGCAGGACTCTGGCAGGACAGAGATTTGGCCTTTCAGGGAGACCACAGGACCATYTTGTCCCGTGTACTGGTTTGGAGTGGCCAAATGTCCTATTCTTGCCTTCTTTCCTTGCTCGTTGACAAGTGTACTGTGATATTTTTCTCTTACGTTTTCATGGCTTTCAGAAATCTGCATGTCAGTCATTTCCTGAGCCAGAAAAGATATCTCTAACAGTACAACTGGATATTTCTTTYCAGAATTTGTTAATCCAGTGTGTCTGTTGAAGACGTTTTTCTGTGGTTTGACTGACATAAATCTAGCTGGGATTTCATATCTTGAGTTCTTCCACATGGGATTTTAATTTTTATTTTTAAAAAAGGATGTTTTTGCTGTTCAAATAAAACTGAAAAGGGAAAAGCATGTATGGATTCGCAGAAAACAGAATTTCCCTTCCCACTTCCTTGTGACGTGTCAGGATGCAGCTCATTCTGTGAACAAAGCCTGGAACCATAAAACAATCCACTGAAGCGGGAACTGGAATTTATCAGTTCAAGACTGAGCAATGTGAAACAACTCAATTGTTACTCCTGCCAACTCTGGAAAGCATTGAAGTGCCACTGTACAGAGAAAGCAGCTCAAGTGTTGAGCTGTGAGGAGAAATAAAGCTGCTGCYTATAGTTGGGTGCATGTGTTCTTACCCTTAGAGATGGCACTGAACTTTTCTGAGACAGAGCAAATGCTGGGCTAATAGAAATCAYTTGGGAAAGCTCATGTCACTACTTACTAACCTTGAAAAATTGTAGAATGTGGATTTTGTAGTCTATAAAGTTCTTGAGTCGTGCTGAAGCATTTAAAGCTTATTTRCAGCCAATAGATGAGGAGGTAATACCACCATGAAAGGAAGTTAATTTGTAGGAGTTACAGGATTAGAGAGGTAAATGTGAAAAGTTATGTTGGACTAAAAGGCTCTTGGCTGCAAAGCAAAGACTTGAACATTTTCMTATTTGCTTCCTAGAGTGGGCAAAATTGATAAGCCTGTTTGCTTCACTGCTATAGTGGTGCAAGATAAGCTAATTTTGTGGGCTAATTATTCAGGCCACTGTGAAAACCTTAGGCAAACCTAAACTACAGCTCTTACACTGTGCCAGTAAGGGATGGAGGGTGGCACAGGAGACAGGGACTTCCCATTTCTGAGATTTCCCATTTCCATTCTGCAAYYTCACGAGSTCTCTGCAAACAGAGATGCTTCTARCCCACACAAGGCCTCTTTAGTTCTAATGAAAACCCCACAAATAAAGTTAAAATTTATGCATTACAAAATTATTTCTAAAGCAGTCTCTGGGATGTGGAACAAATSCAAGCATCCTTTAGGATAGCCCAACAATGTCTCTGATGTGTTTCAGARTAAGATGGATGCTCCACATAAGTTGAAGATTTTGGTGATGTTTCTGTCTCTGGCTACGTTCACGGGCATGGTGATAATGAATGCTGGAAATGCCACTGGGACTTTCAAAGGTAATGCAAGCAAATTTTCTTAGTTGAGAGCTGGGTTTCATGCTTTGTATCATTTAATGGTATAAGGTGGCTTAGATGGGGTGATCTGTTTGTTACCTCATCACCTCTCCAAATGGTGATGCTCTGTGAAAGGTGGAAGCAGCTGCTACATGTTCCAGGTGTTACAGCAGTGTCTGAACCCCATCCAGTCCCTTGAAATCCAGGTAAATGTCCCCAGTGAGCCTGGATCCAGTGATGGTTGAAAGGCAGTCTTTGCATGCCCTTGTACCCCTGGTGGAAGATGTCCAGGCTGCTGCTGTGGGTTTGTAGATGACAGTGGTGCTGATTTTGAGCATTAYCCAGCTGAATCTGCCAGGAATTGCCATTGTGCTTTCCTCTGGTTTGCACAGAGCTGGATTTTCTKGTTCTGTGTAAGAGGGAAGGTGCTCAGTGCTCCCAATAAGGGACAGTGATCCCATAATGGATGTCTAAACCACTTGCAGCACCTGGTTGGTTTGCACTGAGGGTGTGGTCCCATCATCCCCAAACCCACGAGGCAGAAAGGAAGATTGAAGGGTAAGGGAAATCAGCAGTCTTTCCCCATCCCTAGGATGTAATAACACTTTTGCCTGCMACAACATTCACCACCACAGGTCTGTTCAGGACAACCCCTGGAAACATCTCAGCYAAATACAGCACTGATTTCACACCAGCTGGATGGACTTTCCTCATCTGGAATGTCATCTACGCCTGGCAGCTCGCCTGGCTTCTCTATGCCTTGTCGGGGATCTGTCGAAGGTATTTTCCCTATTTTCATAGTGGGAATGAGAAATGACAGTGACTCTTCCCTTCTGGAGTAGCTCAGTTTCTCCACCCCCTTTCTGGGGTTTCTGGTCAGAGCAAACCCCCTGTCATTTTTCTTGACTTGGCCTGAAGCTCTGCTGCTGGAGTATCTCTTAGGTCCAGCATCCAAAGCTGGGAAGGTTTGGAGGTGTACAGAAATTGCTCTGAGGCATGGACAGGTATCAAAGTGTGTAAACTCCCCTGTGAGGCCTCATTTCCAGCAATTTGAGGGATCTGACAGATTTACCCACTACCTGCACCTACCCACTGCTGGAGGCTGAGAATCCACTTCCAAAATTAATGGATTAAGGAGTTAATGATTTGAGTTTTCTTTCTGTTAGAGATCAAACACCCAGCATTGGGGAGTCTCTTGGTTTGTTGAACTGGACATGAAACTTTTCCTGGAGCTATGAGATCAATAACTGCCTGATAGGGAAAGCCACAGGGATTTCTGTATTGTATCAGAGGATACACAGGAGAAATGATCTGATTTAAGCCAAAATGTTTAACTCCAACATAAAGTCCCTCTTAATATAAAGAAAATGAGGCCAGAAAAGTTGCTTTGGTCAATGCAAACATTGTTTTTCTTTCTCCATACCCACTTTTTCCTGGCAGGAATGAACTTGGATATGTCTTCATGAAGCCAGACTTGCTGCCAACACCTTTTTACGTGGCATGGTGTCTGAATAATGGCCTCAATGTTGGATGGCTCTTTCTGTGGGACCGAGAGTGAGTTGCTTTTTATTACAAATACTTTCTAACACTCTTTTTGGGACTGCCCCAGTACTTTTTTTTCTCTATGTTTTTTTTTCCTCTATGTGTGAACACTTAATCACACCTCTAAAACTCTATCTCAGGCTTTGACAAAACATAGTCTTCGTAAAAGTTTGGGGGAGATCTAAGATCTCTTCTAAGCTGTTGTTCTTCTACATTTTTACCTCCACAGGAAAGGCAGGAGCCATGCCTCTCTTCATTAATGCAGTTAAGCTCCTTGCCTTGGATTGTTTTCATAATGGTGGTCACATTAAGGGCTTATGAGAGCACCATTRTCAAGAGGTGAAGAAATCAGTTGCAGTCAGGAAAACAACTTCAAAATTAACAGAGTAAAACAGCAACAGCAGTGTGTTAAAATGAGAGCTACGTGAATGCATTTATTAAAGGCTGATCAACTTAATGCCAGTAAAGGCCAAACACCAAAGCTACAAATTAGGGCATTGTGACACCCCTGAGAAAAATGTGGTATCTATTGTGTGTGTACATGTTCTTTGTCCTAGGTTCCTCCTTCCTGCCCTGGTGTTCCTGGCAGTCCTGACTTTGACCACGTGTGCTTCCCTCTTTGTTTCCCACCGAGCCTTGAGCATCCATTCCTCCTGGTTTGCCAAGGGTCACAAAGCTGAGCTCTGGCTCATCCGCATTCTGGTAGGTGGCTTTTGAGAAGCTGTGCTGTGGGTAAATGGTGAAAAAAGCCAAACCCTGTGCAGTGCTGGAGGTATCAGGAGTGAAAGATTTGGTGGCAGAGCATAGCTAAGGAAAGATTTCTGCCCTGCACAGAAAAATTCCTGCCAGGCCTTCTGGAAATGTGTCTGTGTCTCATCACAAACTGGGAGTGGGCTCTGTTCTTTGCACCTCCTGAAACACCAGGATAACACACTGCTGGGCTGGATCTCTGCAGTCCCTTGGAACTCCAGGGCTTCACCTTTTCTCCCTGCTGAGGGACTTTTCTTGCAGCCAGGTCCAGAAGGCTGGCTTAACTGCCCCAGGGGCTATGRGTCACCAAAGACAGGCAGAGATTASCCTGTGTGTCACTCTTGTCCCTTGCTGTGCTGTGTGGCAGGTCCAGAACGGGCTGGCTCTCTATGTGACCTGGACCAGCATCGCCACGCTGCTCAACTTCGCYGTTGTGCTGATCTACAAGTGGAATGTGCCCAATGAGAAAGCCACCACTGCCTCCCTGAGCATCCTGGCCCTCAGCCTGCTGATATGGTAAGTGACTCCATGCCTAAAAATCCCTTCCATCTCTCACTGATGGTGACCATCGGCTCCAATTCACCCCTTGCCTGTCCCTCTCCCAACACTCACTGCAAAGGCTTCTGTTGTAACTCATGGCAGATGAACTGGGAGCTGGGCAGGGCTTTTATTCCCTGACTCTCAGCAGTGCCAGCCAGCACACTTTGTGGGCCAGGGACATATTTTTGTGACTTGCATGAGCCCAGCCTGCTTTAGGATTACTGGTGAGGATGTGATACCAAAACCATATGAAACATGACTTTATTTTCCCTCAAAACCTACCTTAAATAAATGATTTATGAACTTTCTGATTTTTAATAAATGAAAAATTTTGGACTCTTGTCCAAACTTGGGCCCGCAAACTGCCCACCTCCTCCCCCCCCCCAGCCCCCATTGTCTGTCTAATTCCTTTCTTAGGGAATGGGAAAAACATAGATAAAACTTTGGTCACTCTTTCTTTTCACAGGTTTTATCTAGAAAACTACTACCTTGACAAGTATGTCCGCTATAACCTCACAGTCTACCCGGTGGTCATAGCAGCTCTGACTGGCAGCGCGTACAGGAACAGCTCCTTTTCATCCCTGCTGACCAACAACATTTTTATAGGTGAATCTTTCTAACTCCTGTAAAAGAAGGCTGGTAAACACTTTCACATCCTTCCTCTGTGCTGAGGCTGGAAAGCCTTGCCACTTTAAAAGCGTTGTTAAAAAGAAGATATATTTGAAGGGGTTCATTTTGCTAAGTGAAGAGTGAAGCAGAAATCATTACCCAGGAGCCTTGGGGCCGAATCCAAACCTTGTGTTGTCTCAAGTTMACTTCCCAGTGCAATATTTTGTCCTTCAATCCTCCATCACCCACTTGGCTGCTCCAGAAGCTCCATCTGATGTAGAGCAGGCCAGAGGAGCTTCCATGTGCCCCATATTGTTTGGCAGTGCRTGAGCTCCTGACCCACATTGGGCTTCACAGTCCAAACCCCCTGCACTTGCTCCTCTCCTGTGCACAGCTCAGGCCAGCCTTAACAAGTTTTCCTGGGATTATCTGGCTGCTGCCAGCCACTGTAGCAGAGTTGAGTGTAGTCATCCATGCTAAAAGGGCTTAAGCTGTCCAAATTCTGTACAATCACAGTCTGGCAGGAGCTGTGCCATTCTGAGCAGTTTTATGCTGGCATGAAAGGCACTGAGCTGTGTGAACTCTGAATCTCACTGTAGCAGCTCCAGATGTCTATTCCCACCACGGGGTCAGCAGAAGGGAGCACATTCCCACCCTTCAGCCTTCCCACTGCCACGTACCAGTGGCTAAAGCTAAATTGTGGGCTGGCACCACCACTGGAGCTGCTCCAGAACAGTTCCCTTTGCTGTAAGCACAGCTGGAGCCTGGTCATGTCTGGATCACCCAGCAGGATTTGGCAAAGCTTGTCTGCCACAGGCACGGAGGCACTGGAGGTTTGTCTCCTGATGCTTGTGGCCACCAGAAATGRGGAGGTGAGTGTGGTCTCTGGCAGGCAGCTCTGTTCCTGCAGTAGGTGCGTTTCTACCAGCAAAATTTTATTCTTACTGGTTTAGCTTGTTTGGCTGGTAGGACAAGAATGTGCTTTTCCCAAAGCAGTACGTGTTTCTTTATATAGTTCAACTATTCYTGGAGTATTTTGTTAATGTAATGTATTTTAATTCCTGTGTCCAGGAAGTCTCYCCCCTTTTTAGACATGCCCTGACCTGGAAGCATTGGACAAATTTGCCTGTATAGCAGTGAAACTCTGCGAGATACAGCTCTGGGGGTGATGGATCCTATACTGGCAATTGTTTGTGGGTTTTTCTCTTTCCCTGAATACCCCYKGTTCCAGRAGCTGGGGTATGACAAGAGRCACTGTCTTTCTTTTATGCTCTAAMACACTTCTGTGTTTTGTCCCCAGTTGTTCTGCTGGTACTGACCTGCTTGATCTTTGCTGTTCGCCTGGGACTGGTCACATGGAGACATTGGAAGAGACCACTGGAAGCATCAGAAACACGAGGCCCCTCAGGCACAGTGGCCTGAAACCTCTGGCATGTTGTGGCAGATACTTGAAAGGGAGRAAAAGGAATTGGGCATCTGCTGGTCCTTCCTTCCTGTATCAATCACCTCGTGCTCCTCTCTCTCACTYTCCATTCCAAAAGCAGATGTCTGCAAACCTGTCTTGCTCCCACGTCCTCTTGGATCAGCTACTCCCAACTCTGCCTTGAATTCCTTTGGTTTTGCTCTGGAAAAGTTCAGGAAAAGGTCCTGAGCAGCTCTGTGCACCCTTGTGATGCCTGGGCTGTGGCTCTCTGCTCCTGTCAGTGCTGCCCACAGGCACTCAGCAGCCTTGCACACACAGCTGTTCTTGCTCTTTCCTTGTAGTTCACTTTTCTTGAAAAACAAATTCAAGTGAGCTGTTCCTGGGATTCCAGGGACACTATGTCCCTGTGATTCCCTTGGCCATTAGTGCTGAGCACTGTCAAACCCTGGTGCTGTCAGCAGATCTCCTGCTCCTTTTCCTGCTTCTCTTCAGTGTGACAGGAACAGATCCTACAGCTTGATCTCTACTTTTGCAGTGTCAGCTCTGGTGTTTGATATTCAAGGAGGGAGGAGGAGTGACTGAAGATTTCTGACACAAATGTGTTGCCTTTCCCTCAGCTCTTGGGCTGGCTGGGTGTCTCTTGCTGGGGATGCTTTGTGGCTACTCTGGAAAGAGGTTAGATGTACAGATGATCTGGGGTGAAGCCTGATGTTTCAAAGGAAGCCTGTTAAAAAAAAAGAAAAAAAGAAAAATTGAACCGGTAGAGCGAGCTTTTCCTGGATCGGTGCTTTCTCATGTGGCTTCACCGCTTCTGAATTGGGATTAGGAAGCTAAAACTGGATTGACTCAATTGTTGGAGCACTCTGTGCCTGATGGAGAGCCGGTGGTGCCTCACAGGTGTCTGGAAATCCTTTCTATAGGGCAGGTGCTTTCAGGGGTTGAGCATCTTRCAGTGCTATTAACAAAGCAAAATTCTAAAACAATGTGCTATTGTTTACATTTAGCAAAAATCAAAAGCAGTGTAATGTAACCATTCTGGTGTGGTTTTTTTAATTCGTAAATAAATCAGCTAATTCTACCACTGTGCCACTAGCTCTGTAAATCATCTAAAGCCACTGTCCTGGCTCCCACCTCACTCTTGCTCAGAGTTCCAGAGTGACTCTGGTCTCTTGCTGGGATCTCATGGGTGTAACTGCTTCCACTGATCATCAGCCTTGGAGGTGAAGACTCAGAGGATGCAGATTTCTAGGTATGATTTAAACTCTGTCCAGCACGCTGTTCATTAAGTTTCTATTTTATAAGCTCTGCCTCCCAAGAGCCCAGCTAATAAATTCCCATCAGCCTCTCCATAAGCTGCCTTCTTTAATACAATGACATTAAATCCACTGGCRTGGGGATTAAAAGGTCCAGGCAAGGTGAGAAGCTGCTGTGGGRCTGTGCAGCAGTTAAAGCATGGGAAGGTTTTGCATCCTCCCCAGCAAGAGCACTGAAAACAGTTTTTGGAGTGGGGCAGCAACACTGTTTTCCCACAGGACTTTAAAAAACGCCTTCAGGACGTTAAAAAATGCTTCTTGGTGTCCATGCCTCACATGTATGCTGGCCAAATGACCAGAAACTATAGCATAAATGATAAGACTGAGCTGCCCCAACCCTCATTTGGCCACCCACAAATAATTTCCTGCTCCCTAAAACCCTCTTCAAGCCATATTTTCCCATAGCTGGGGCAGACAAAGGTTTCCACAGCTGTCCCAGCACACAAAACTCCAGCCAGCTTTTGGAAAAATGGCTTTTCTTGCATCTGCATCAGGAAGAKGGGCCTAAAAATAACCTACCTGCCCCTTTTCCTTTCAGCAGGCATGGGGCAAAGCAGATGAAAAATAAGTGTGACCCTTCCTCTTCCAGTCATGGGGATAAAGATATCTTCAASACTATTTTTAAAGGTTTTTTTCTTCCCTGAAATGCCTTGTTTTCACTTCCCTTTCCAGAACCACCAGCACACGATTTTACCCACAAAAGATTTTTCTTTAGGCAGAGCTGCATTTCACAGAGCTGGAACCCTGCCAACCTTTTAGCAAAAAATAATCAGTCCAGCCTGTGTTTCCATGAGCGATTATGGGATTTGGGTGAATTTTACAGGATTTAAAATTTCTTGGAAAGCTGGTGGCTTTAAGAACCCAAGGCCTGAAAAATTAGTTTAGTTTCTGAAAATGTTAATGTGCCTTGTAGCCCAACCTGGGGTGTGACCCAAATTCCCCAGACCCCCTCACTTCCCCGTGGGGTTGAAATGGGGAAATGGATGGGGCTGGCAAGGGCTCCCAGGACATGAAGGGGTACCTTGTTTTCTGACACCAAAAACTGGATTTGTATTTCTCCTCCTCTGAAGAGATTCCCTCTGAGGCTAAATGGGGAAATAGGGAAAAAACAAGGTGATCTGTAAACCCCTGCTGGGCAGACAACTTCAGTGCTGTGTCCAGGGATGATCAGGGATGTTCCTTCCCCACTCTGGGGCCAGGTCCTGCTCTGGCAGCCTTGTCTGAGACTGACCCATCAGTTCATCAACATTTTCCCTAGAGATGTATTGGCTGGGCTGAATATTTCTGAGGCTGCTAGACTGTTGTTTTCAGTAAAAGTTTCTGGGAAAATATTGTTCAAAAGAATGTTGTATGAAAGAAGTTGTGAGGCAAGGGAAATATGCATTTGAACAGAGAAAGCAAATGTGTTAATTCAAAAGGAATTTTTTGGAAAAAATGAGCTTGTAAGACCCTAGATCAGACTCTCATTAAAGCCCACGCAGCATCCAGAGAAAACCACGCATCATTTCTTGCCTTGGGACTCAGCTGGCTCCTCTTCATCCACAGTGAGAGCTGAGGGGATGTTGGGATGGGGACAGCTTCCCTTTGACACCTCCCACAACAGCAGTGAGGTCCCAGATCTCATCCTGCCCACAGCCCCAGAGCACTGCACCCCTTGGGATGCTCTTGGTTACAGCTCAGGCACAGTCCAGGCAGGAGCCTCTCCCAAAAACCACAGCACCCAGGCAGAGGAGATGTGCTACAGCCTAATCTGTCCTTGGCTTAATGCTGCTCTCAGGACTAATTATATTTAATTATATTATGATATTAAAGTGAAAAGGAGAAATAAATAAATTGCCGCTCCATGATGCAAAGCACCAAATCAGAAAGCAGCGTTGCTTTTCACCTGCCATCGAGAGCAAATTCCCAAACCCATCCACTGGCTGCAGCCAGGGACAAAGGGGCACAGTGGCACACAGGGACAGATATGGGCACAARTGGCACCACTGGCCACCACCAGCAGCAGGAGAACACGGATGAGACACCCGCTGGTGCTTTGTCACTTGTCACAACATTTGGTTGTAGGAACATTGGCCCTGGAGAGGAAACTCAAAGAAGGCTGGCTCRAAAGGTGGCACCCCAAACCCTCGCTGGCTGCACCCCCATTTCCTTATCTGCTATGCAGAGATGAGCGAGACAAACCTCCCCGTGGAGGGCTGTGAAGAACTCCAGATAAAAGCGTGGAACACATCGGGGGATGATTAAAGCCAGCAGCGCCCTTTGCTRTGCGAGCAGTCTAAACACGCCGGGCCGTTCCCGGGCTCTTTGAAAACTGTTAGATGTTTGCCAGCTAAATATTTATTTCATCTGTCGGGAGAGCAGCTCAGTCCCTCTGTCAGAGGCATCCCAGCAAGGAGTTACAGGCTGAGTGAGGCGGGATTAAGGCACGGGCTGAACATGTGGGAAAAAATGCTGGAGCGGTCCCAGGGGCTGACCCTGCTCCCGGCAGAGCTGGGACACCGCTCGGAACATGCGAGTGTGACCGTGCTGTGGGCATCCCCCGCTGGAAACTTTGACTCAAAACCCTTAACAGCCACACAAGGACGCTGTGTTTTCTCCCTCCTCTTGGAGAAGAAAGGATCCTGAGAGCYTTTGCCCAAGAAGCTGGTAAAATGTGATGTTTAATCCATCGAGAAGGGATGTTGCCTGCTCAGAATGGGACTGATTAGGGAGTGCTGGAAGTGATGGTGACATTCACTGGTAATTTGGTTTGTCTCAATACTGTTCTAGTAAAAACACGAGTTTTTTTTTTTTATTTTTTTTTTTAAAGGCATTACTTAAAATTATTTAGCTTAAGTAAGTGGCCCATGACATTTTTTAATCCAAGAGAGGGAAAAAAAATAATTGTTTCTGCCTGTGATTGCAATTGCTTCCCCTGGTGGCAATGCATGTTTTGCCACCTGTTTGCAGGAACAGAATAGAGCAATTATTTTGCTATGAAATGGTCTCAGRGCTGAGAGAGGAGCATAAGAATTGAGCAGAAACATCTGAGAGTGGAGCACCATCGCTCTGACCTGGAGCTCTGGGCTCACCTAACCAACAGCTGATGGGAAATGATGGACACATCATCCATATAACACCAGCCAGAAGAACATACCCTACTCAAAACAGTAGGAAGAAAAGCTGCCAGTGTGGTTTAATAGGATGGAAGAAAAACCAGGAAAAACACCGTTGTGGTTCCTCAGACAAGAACATCTCGTTCAGCCGAATGCAAAGGTGCTCCTTGAGGACACTCCTGCAGAGACAGGGAGACGGGGTGATGGCACTGAGGTTGGTGCCTGGCTGGGAAAATGCAAAGGAAGCACTTGAGAATTATCACAGYATTCCCACAAAACATATGCAGGCAGGGTAGGAATGAGGTCAGGACTTCTGATCCTTCTCCCTTTCCTTCCAGCACAGGCACAGCGTGGAGGAGGGGAATGTGCTGCTCCTGCCCATATTCCAGGCTGAGGGCAGGGAGGATCCCTGCTGCATTTTGGGATATTTGTTCTGCCACCAGACTGAGGTGTCCCCTGTGCTGGAGCTGCTCCAGCCTGCAGTGGCAGTGGGGACCCTGCTGCAAATCCAAACCCTGCAGAGGCAGATTTTACAGATTTTGTTGCTCTCTGCAGTGAGTTTTTGAGTTCAATATCAGCTGCATGTTATCAGTTTGTGCAGGGAGAAGATGAAATGAAGCAAAAAGACATCCCAAATATGTCCACGAGRCCATCCTCAGTGCTGCTGAGCTGTCCTGGTGACCTCACTCAGATGCTTGTGTCTCAGATGCCCGCTCACCACCCCRTTTTCCACCTGAAAACCCATCCCTGGAGCATTCCCTGGGGGTATAAACCAGGCAGAGATGTGGATGCATTACAAATGTGAGCTCCTCAAGCAACCAGGAATCGCAGCCCAGGCCCTGGGGGGTGTGCCTGAAGCACCACCCYACAAAACCTGCACCAAAACCCGGCCAAGTTTTAATGTGCTCCCTGAGTGCTGAGGGCAGCCTGCACGTAGGCATCCACTCAGGCTGCAGGGAGCTCGCTGCASTCAGCTGAGATGATTTCAGCTGGCACCAGGGTGCAGTGAGATGGGGGTTTTTTTTCAATATTAATGACCCCTTATATGTTTCATTCTGTTAAATCAGAGGCAGTGAGCAGCACGAGGTGTCCTGGGGTTGGCTTACTGCTTACTCCAGCCCTGGTGCTGCATGAAACCCAAGCTCTTGGGAGCACTGATCACAAATCAGAGCAGTGCTGGGTCTCCACCTTCTGGAGCAGCACTTGCTGCAAGCAGCATCTCCAGGAGATGTGATCCATGCTCTGCAGCACATCCCAGGATCTGCTCTGGGATGAGCCCCGTGTTTGGGCAAGGCAAAGTGACACCACAGCCCCAAATTCTGACTGTGGCTCCCAAGCTTTGTTTGCTTCTCCTCTGTGTATCCAGGAAATTATTTTTTAAGAGGCCTGGACAGTGCCAAGGTTTTAAGGGAGTGCRTGGAGAGCCTGAACAACCCAGGAAAAAACGGGGACCTGTTGCTTCAGAAGAAATATTCACCTGAAATCTTGTGAAAATAATCCCATCCCCCTGTGGGCAGCAGCGATCTGGTTTGAGWTGTCTTTAAAGCTGGGTTTTTTGTGACACTGAAATGATACCAAAGAAATTTGGGTGGATGGCAGTGCCCAAAATGCCAAATCTGAGAAGAAGCCTGACTTCTGAGCGCTGCCAAGCTGATCTCTTCGCTCAGGCTTTCCCAACCAGGGCGTGTAGAGCAATAAAGATCCTCTTGAGAGCTCTTGACAACTCAAAGGAGAGGCTGAGCACGCTGAAGGCATCCACAAGCCCTTTCTGGGGGTTTTCCCTGCAAATCTGGCTTTCAGGAAAGGATAATTGTTCTTGTTATTGGGTAATATTTTCAGTCTTCACCTCCGGGGAGGTTGAACGGGCTTCAAAAAGGGCAACAAAAACTCTTTGGCTGACTGATGGAGGCTTCAGGATGATACCCACACGCACACTTTGCCAAGAAAATAAAGGCAAGAAAACCTTGAAAATCCTTTTTGCAGCAAAGCAGCTCGTCCCGGTCCCCGGCACGCTTAGAAAGCCTCTCCACTTTCCATTTTGTGCATAAACACTTGTCATATTCCCCATCGGAGGGTGATAAACACACTTTTAACTCCAAGTGTGTTTATCTGTTGGCTGACGAGCTCCGTTTARGAGCTTCGCCCGCCGAGTGGCACRGAACCATCCTCCCYGCCGGTGCCAGGAGCGTGT